GTTGTTAAAGTGTTCCAGAATGCGACATTAATTTCTTGATGACCTAATATTACATATTTATTTCTAAGTGAAGAAATGCATTAAAACTAAACAGTTTTGGTGTCTTAAAAATAACTATCCACCACTTTTAAAAAGAGTTATAGTACCATTTGCAAAGTATGTGTTGTTAAAGTGTTCCAGAATGCGACATTAATTTCTTGACAACCTAATAAAATGATTCTTTTTTTGCATTTTTTTTCCTTAGATATATTGTTTTGATGAACCAACATTAATCACCCTGAGCACTTAAACTTTTTTCCATCATACTTATCAAGACCTGTCATTCGAATAAATAACTTTTCAAGGAGAAATAAGTATTTCTTAAAACTATTTATATTCTTTAAGACCTAATATTTAGGTTAACTTCATCATTCCAAAATATGAAAATATTCTAGCGGTTTAATGCCTGACTCTGAAAACTCGTACGTTAACACAGCTAAGTGTGAAGACTGATTGTTTAAAGTACTAAGTATGAGATTTGTAAACACATTTGTAGGGTTGATCTGTGCAAAAAATTTTTCCCTTCCTGCAACCTATTAGATTGTAGATTATATTACATAATTAAATAGTTTGTATTCATATATTTTCTTCTTTTTTTTTTTTTTTTCTACAATTTCTGTTGAACATAATTATGAAAGAGAAAGATATCACTGACTGTTTTAATTGGAGGAGGGAAAGGATGTTATGTATAAAAAATTAACAGTTAGCTCCAGGAATGTTATTCTTTTGAAATTTTGAGGCCCACATCAACAATGATTCATGACAGGGAAATTGTCATTTTATGAAATGGGTATATAACCAAAACTTGACAAAAAAAAATTGATTTCAAGATTGTAAGTAACAGTGTGAACCATGTAAATTATGAATATTTTTATTATATTTACATGCACTTTTAGAAGATCACTGTTGTAAATTCATATGTATTTGTTTAGGCTTTCCAACCCATGGCAAATTGTGCAAAGAAGGTAATAAGGGATAATGGATATGCAGAAAATATTCAGCTTATCAGCAAACGATCAACAGAATTGAGTGTTGGACCAGGTAAAAATGCCTTTTTTTAACCTTAAAAATGTTTAATGTAATTTTTATAAACAGAAAGAAACTGTATTACTGGGAAATCCATAATATGAGTAGCTCTTTCATATTTATTAAACGAAAAAATTGCTGCTGGAGAAAACTCAAGTAATTTGGTGTAATTGGATGGTGCCGATTTCAAAAATTGAATCAGAATTTGACAATAACCTCTAGATTTTGAGTTGTAGTAATATCTCAATATTTTATCAGAACTAGGTGAAATACTGTGCAATCAACTTGATACAATAGATTTATGCTGTGAAATTAAGTTTACTTCAACAGTTTAATGGGTAAAACACATACATTTTTGTTAACTTCAAATATTGACTGTATTTTATTGGTGTAAAATTTCAAATATATTGTTCATATATGCTATTTGTTCTTGATATAATTGTAGTGAATTGCATCACTTTTGCTTCATTCCCAAGTTCACCTGCTCCACTCAGAAATAACCTTCACATGCTCAGTTTGCTAGAACATTCGAAAAGACCCTCAAGTGAGCATAAAAGGGGCAGAGACAGATGCCTCTCATTCACTCGGTCACTTCACCTTGCTCCTCGCATAGGCAAAAAGTCTGATCTGCATCCTTGCATCATACCTGCAACATTATCAAATTCTTTTGTCTCTGGGACTGACAAGATGATAAAATGATTTCAAAGAAAAAATGCCAGTGAGAGACAATTACATACTAGGGAAACAGAATATCGAGTATCAACCTTTAGTGAATTCTCAAAATGTGTTTCTCCCCCACTTCATATTAAACTGGAACTTATGAAGAATTTTGTAAAAGTAATGAACAAAGATGGTAATGGTTTCAGATATCTGTTTGACAATTTTCCAAAAATCAGTGAAGCAAAAATGAAAGGAGGTATCTTTGTTGGGCTACAAAGATAGATAGATTTGGGAAGTGCTGATGGATGATGATTTTGAAACAGTACTTAATCAGAAATAGCTTGCTGCCTGGAAATCATTCAAACTTGTTGTCAAAAATTTATTAGGAATAACAGAGATGAAAACTATGCTGTGATGATTAATGATATGCTCGAGAACTAAAGGAAAATGGGACCTAGGATATCACTAAAGATACACTTCTTAAACTCCCATTTAGACTTCTTTTCAAATGATGTAGATGCAGTGAATGATGAGCATGGTGAGTGCTTCCACCAAGATATTCCTACAATGAAATAGTGATATCAAGGATGATGGAACCCTGTGATGATGGGAGATTACTGTTTGTTCTTGCAGCATGAAACTGAGGACATACACAAAAGGTGCAACAAGTCAAGCAGATATTTTGTAACAAAAAATAAAAAATAATACCATGATGAAAGATTGAACTTAGCCTGAATGTATTTTCAGCATATAATCTTATTATAATCATTGTTTTTTTTTTTAAACTGGTATTGCTATTATGTATTATGTTTGAAAGTTCTGAAATGTAATTTTTCAATGAATAAATGAAGTTATTCAAGAAAGTTATTTTTACAGTATATAAGAATATTTTGAATAAAACTCATAACTCAAAAACTAGAGGTAATCAATAATTTTTAACATGATTTATAGAATTAGCATTGTTAGTTTACTCGGAAACAGTTGCATTTTTTTTCTAGTAACAGAGAAAAAATGTTTCAGTTTCCTGGTGTTATCAGGATGTTTTGTGGATTAATGTTGACGAGTACGTGCACATCCTCTCTTATGACTGAACTGGTAGGATATGTACAGTACCTAAGAAATTTTTATGGTGGATATATTTGAGTACTAGTTCCCAAATTGATTTAAGATACATTGATTTGTTTCTTTCAGATGGTGATATGAGGGAGAAAGCCAATATTCTTGTAACAGAAGTATTTGACACAGAACTGATTGGTGAAGGTGCTATACACACTTTCGCTCATGCTTTGGAAAACTTGTTAGAGGTAAAAAGATAAATGTAAATATTTAACAAGTTAATCACAAATTCCTATACTTTGTTCTAGAAGTGTGAAGCACTCTATGAATGAAGTAGAATAACACATTGTAATGATGTGACATTGATAACTATACTACCAATGGAAAAAAAACAAGAGACTTGCTATTTTTTTATTTATGTTCAATTTATATTCAATTATAAGATCATGTATTCTCCATATTGTATTTAGTTTTTTGAAACACAAGCTTAATACATAATACACAAGCATAACTGTACAAGTGTTCTTTAAAAAATCAATATTATACAGAATTTATTTAAAACTATAATATCAAGATGAATGTTAATTTTATAATTTTTTAAATTTTGTGTTATGGATTTCGGGGAGAAACTCTTTGGGGAAAGATGTTTCAGAAATGATTTTGAGGCTTAAAAATTAATGCTTTTAGCATGATAAAAAAATTGTGATACAGTAAGAAAAATATAGTGATCATTCTAGCTTTTTTGTCCATGTGTGTTCCAGAATGCAAGTATCAAAACATTTGCAACATCTTTTTTTTGGGAGGTGTTTCAAATATCAAACTACCATTTGTTTACACCTGACATGGAAGAAAACAATAACTTAGCTTTTTCAGGTGTATAAGTAAACTGAATAAACAGTTTCTTCACATTTGTTTACGATAAGAAAACAGATTAGTCATTACCCCAGTCATATATGACTCCTTGAAACATAGCCCTGTTCTAAATCTTCCTATTTTTATCTTTGCTCTGAAATTTCCAAAATTCATAACACTTTACAAAGTAATGGCTATCCCCTTAATTTCTTCCACTCTATCATATGAACATTTTAAACAAACAAAGTAGAACCTACCACGAAACTGCACATTGTCTCAAAATATCTGATAGTTCTTATCTCTTCTTTCATGGGAAAACAAAGTTTTAAACTTAAGTCCCAAATCTAAAGAATACTCAAGACATAATACCCACAGATTAAGCTACATTTAGCATTTAAGTCAACATTTATAATTTGATCTTGCTTAAAGCCAAAGATACTTTACCCACTGCTATGCACTTGTTAGTTGTTTATAAATACACTTGTGGTAGCTATAAATTTACTTATTGGTAGAATTATGTATCATCTTCAAATATGTGTACATGTGAGTTTCAGCTAGAAGTGGATATAAACTAACTGATCAACCTGAGTATTGTATCTGATTACAAAAATCACCCCATCCATCTTGAAAACTTTAAAATTCTTTACTTTGGAACAACAGGTTACGAGCTCTTTATTAATGAAAGCCTTTCTATTTTCAGTGATTCCCCAACACTAAATAATAACATCAGCTTATCCCTGATTCATTAATCTAATCAATTACAGAATCCCAGTGTTATTATTTGATTATTATTTTTAAAGATGTAGGTGTTTATACTTACATTTAAGCCTTTCTTTATAAAGTTTTCTCGTAATATTATTTAACATATGATTATGCATTCCATTTAATTGTTATCATTTAAATCTGTATTCTTTATAAACTTTTGGTTGTATCAAAAACTTCTTGTTTTATAGCTAATGTTATTTTTTGTAGTTAGAATATTGTAAATCAACTTTATGAGGTTTTAATACTGATGATGGAATTCGAAACAATTCTAAAGTGTCCGTAATTAAAGATTATCTTCGCTATGAAATAAAGAATAACTAAAGACACTTAAATATATGTGTATGTGTGTGCTTTGTTTTTGTTCAACTGCATATATAAGACTTCAGTTTTTCAATACTGACATACATTTGTAAAGTTTGTCTACAAACTATTTGTTGAATTGGAATTTTTATTTTTCATTTGGAAAGAAAGATTCTATTGTTGTGCCAGTCTCAGCAGTGGTGTATGCCCAGGTTGTCCAGTCTGAGAAGGTATTGAAATGGAATCGACTTCAGCCACTACATGTTGCTGATGGAATAGTCATTCAGCCACCCTCAGATGTACAGTCTTGTGCAGGAGCAGCAGCAATTCACGATATCCAACTTAACCAGTTAAAAACTTCAGATTTTAAGTGTTTAAGTGATCCAGTTCCTGTCTTCAGGTGTGTTAACTTTAAAGAAAAATTTACAGTTGTTTTCACTGAAAAGTACAATATTTAGTTTTTGTCATTTTTATTATTTGAATGTCAAAAAGATGTTCTGATATTTAGTAGTAATAAAAAGCGAAAGCTGACCCACAAGTAACTTATTTTTCTGTGGCACATTGTCTAGAGAATATCACTTAATAAAATGATCCTTATGATTTTAAATCTGTCTACACAATTATATGTGAACACATAGCCAAAAATTGCCAAAATTCGCATAAAATAATTCAGTAGCTGATTTAAAAAAAAAATAGTATATTCAGCTGGAATTAAGCCTTAAGAACACCAAGTGTCATGTTTCTGAAGGTAATCTACTATAATATAGATGCTACAATTTTTTTTAGCTGGAATTAAGCCTTAAAAACACTAAGTGTCATGTAATATAAATGCTCCATTCTACTTTCTTAAGTTATGATATCTACTTATATTCTAAATAGTTGTTTTACTGACTAAATATAAAAAGAGTTTGCAAAGATTATAAGTAAATGATATTAGAATAATTGCCTTATCAAAAATATTGCCTTAAACCTCTTAAGCTTTTGACATAGCACCAGAGCCCACAACTCTGAATATCTAGCTAAACCTCCATTTACCTGTTCAACAGTTTACAGATGTTTTCATCATAATAATGGCTGATTACCCCTCATCTCTTCATGTAGCCTATATATTTTTACCGTTATTTGATTTTACTTTCTATGCAAACATACTGTAAATACTGGATAGATTTTTATCTATCCTTGTGAAGTTTGGATTCTTTTGATTTATATTGCAAGACCATGCAGCTTTGTTTATTCAATGTACATTAAAATAGTAATGTTTTTTTTACTGTAGGGTACTTGGAGTATAGTATGTCTCATTGTTTCAGATTACTGTGTGTCATGATATAAAAGACTGTGTATTTTAGATATTATTGATTAATTTAGTTTTGTGAGTGAATGTTGTATTATTGTTTAGTTTTTGCTATAATAAGAGTTAAAAGCAGATGTTTGTAGGAGGTTTTGTTAATAATTCATTGATGTTGAGAATATCGAACGTCACTTACAATACATTCACGTCAAGAATGTAGAAGGTGGACAAACGATTAAGTGATAAAGATATAAATAGCGTGAGGTGAGCGGGAATAGTAGACAGATAATAGCGAAAGAGAATAAAGTTGGCATGAAGTTAAGTATGGTAGAAGTGATACGCCTAACATTCAATATGTTAAAGTGAAACTAACAGTAGAAAAGGGGATAAGAAAAATAATTTTATTCCGTCAAAGCTTGGTTCTAAAGTACTTAAATCAGCCAGAGTGCACTTTGACAAAAGGAACAGAAGATCTTCAGAAGAAAGACGACCAAACGATTACAGTAACTCATGCCACAATTGTAAGTGAATCACAGAGAATACTAGTGCGATAGAAGTAGAGAACATAGTTCGGTTTGTCAACTGAAATTCTAAAGTAATTGAATATGCCTAAGTGGACATTTGACAAGAAGGAGAGAACTACATATATAGTATTTATGATATACCCATAATATCTACAGTGTTGAAGAATTTGTTGTACATATGTTAACTTCTTCTGAATGTGTGTGTGTGTGTATATATATATTATTTTGAAAACAGGTGAAGTGCATGCTGTTTATTCATAGTTGAATTTATCGCAAACAAGTCAGACACCTACTTTAGAAGATTCCTAAGCCCAACAACAACATAGTATATATTTATACTATTAAGAAATATAGATAAACACCTTTCTATTTGACAATTTTCAAATTCTGATAATGTGAATATGTAAAATTTTAAACTTTTCATGTTTAGGTTTGACTTCTCTGGTAAGACACCCCTAAAGTTTGATGATATGTCTGTGTCCAAGTTTCAAGCTCAACACGGTGGATCTTGCCAAGCTGTCTTTATGTGGTGGGAACTTCAGATGGATGTGGAAGGAGATATTCTCTTAAGTTGTGCTCCTCATTGGGCACATCCAGAACCTACCTCATTACAGGTACTGAGCTAGACTTGTTTACATTTTATAAAACTGAAGGTGCAGTGGCTGATTAGGTAATCTATACACAGTGGAAATTTTACAGCTACAAAGAGCAAAAGTATTTCTTTATAATTTTCCTCAAGTAAAATGAAATATAATGTCATTTATAAACTGTGTAAACACAAGGCTAGAAACCTTGTAAATAGTCCAAGTTAAAGCTTTCAGTCTGTATATAGACTTTCATCTCAATGGTAAGACTGTATAAAGTGGCTTAATCTGACATGGTTAATATTAATATATATATATATATATATATACACAAGTCTTGTTGTTTTTTTACAGTGGAGAGACCATTGGATGCAAGCTGTTTATTACCTACCTCAAGAGATAAATGTCCATAAAGGAAACCAGATGAACTTGTGTGCGTTTCATGATGAATACAGCCTTTGGTTTACCGTCAATAAGTAAGTTAATCATGTTTTTGTTCAATTTTGTAGCAGATTATCATTAAAAAATGTTTCAAAGAGAAGTCAGGTCTTTAAATTAAACAAATACAGTGTAGTCTGACTTGTGAATAGTTTAGCTAGATTGATGAGAAAAACATAATATGTAATGAATGTAACTTTATTGTCTATAGCAAAGCTACAAGACATGCAAATAATGTATGTATTTACAGTTATTTAATATATTATATATTCTAACTTTTTGCTGAATAGGTAATGTTTATTTATTCAGTGATGCAGTAATATTTTTCAGTAAGTTGGCATTTTCTTTTTCTGTACAGAAACTCAGTAAAACAAATTATGAATTGTTTAAATGTTTACTAATACCACTCTTCCACTGTATATCCAAGTTAAAAAGAAATTAATAAGCAAAACATGACACAGTTTCAGACTTGTTGATATAGTTTCTTTTTCAGTTTCTGTAAAAGTTGACATTCAGGTGACATTAATATTTAGGAAACAGTTCCGTAAAATTCTGTCAATAAAACTTGGGTATACTGAAATTTGAGTCTTACAGTATGAATTTTTCACAGGAAACAGAAAATGAATTTTATGTGGAAAGGGTTGGATTTAAACTCATCCTGGATGAAAAATTATAAGAATTTTATCTGGTGGCTTTAGAAAGTTTCAACTATTTTTGAATATTTTTCAAAAAAAGCAAAAGTTAGAAATATTGTGATTGGTAATTTGTGTAATATTGCAATAAAATTGATGATAATTTTAGTTTTAATTTCCTTTCTGGTTCCAGTAAGAAAAGTGATTGATAATTTAAAGACACCCTGTTATTCCTAGCTTAAACATTGTTTCAGCTTAGTTTCATTGTTAAATACTAGTTGTTTCTTACTGTTACATTAAGTCAGCTGTGCTTTATTGCATATTAAAGTTGACCTGGCGTGGTTATTTGCAAGATATATATCATAATCTTGTGACAGTTGAAATAACTGTTAATTTCACTCTTCCTTAACTAGTTTAGAATATATCTTTAGTAACTTATATTCAGGTAATTCTTTGAATTTTCAGTCATTGTTGTGCTATAGTTAATATTATTGATGTTAACCAGATGTAAAAAGATTGTAAACATGTATTAATTCACTTGCTTAAAGAAGGGTTACATACAGCAATGGTTATTGCATGGAAACTTGTAGCAGGGGAGGGGGTAAGTTAACTTTAAAGAATGACAGATGATTGGACAGATTGTAAGTTGGGAGTTCTCTCCCTTGTATATCTCATTTGTAATAGTCTTTGTCAGAGGTAATCTAAGGATTATGGAATACTATACTAAAATCCTTTGGTCTGACCTGATTGTGCAATATAACGTGATTTTGTAATTATTCTTTGATTGGTTTGTATAGACATTTTTGGAAGGTCTCCTCTTTTCCCCAGTGACCAATTGAAGTCACTTATCTAAATAAAAGCCAGACAGTTTTGTTTTAACCGATTATGAATAAAGATTTAGTTTTTTATTCACTTGTGTATTTGTGTTTCTTTTGCTGTTTGTGTTTAAAATATTACTTGATATAATATTTCTGGAACCTGCTCTATTGCGGATTCTTGTTACTACTTGTTGAACATTTGTATATGACAGTATAATTGACAGTCTTCAAATATCTTTATCCAAACTGTATAAAGAAAATCACTTTTATTGGTTCATACTAGGCCTAATCATGATTCCAACATTATTGAAAGACCCGTATGTTCATGTGGAGCTCACATAGCTTCAAGTAGAATGAGGATAGGAATGCTGAATAATTCATATCGGTACCAGCAGTATGCAAAGGCCCTTGAAAGAGTAAGTAATACGATGATTGTGTACGAGGTTTAATTTTAGAGTAGTTCTGAAAAATTCATAGGTGATTGTTTTTAAAGTTGTCTTGTATATATAATCACAGTTGAAATAATATATTCAACATTTAGTGTTATTTCATGTATGAGTTTTAGGCTTCAGTTGTGTTGAAATAATGTTCATGTGCTAATTCTTACAGTATATATGTATTTAATATGGCTTAGTCCAAAGGCATATTTTTGAAATAATATAAAATTATGTAGTTTCTGTATTAACCACATATGAAGTACAAAGAAAAACGTCTTAATACAATGTGTTTTGTTTGACTTAAAGCATTAAAACGTACAAATAACTTGTTAAACTTTGTTCATTTTATATTTAATAAATAAATTATGAACTATAGAATTATCCAAGGTAATAAGTTCTTTTTTTAGGTTATTGATAAATTCTCAATTTTTTTATTATTTTTCTCTTATCTTTTGTTCTGTTGTAGATGATTTCTCCAAAAAGTGTCTGTCTGTGTCTTGGTGATGAAAACTTGCTTCCTCTTATAGCATCTAAACTAGGAGTTTCAAAGGTTTGTCAGAAAATAAGGCCATATTGTATAGTTATAAATGCTTACAATAAGTTATAACTGCGGAAACATCATTTTGAACTTATAATTATTGTTTATTTGAATTTTGCTCAGTTATGTCATCTAAAATTTTCTTTCTCTTGCTATGATGCAAAACTTTAGATAAAGTTGAATGCTTGGATATTTGATCAGAAAAGAATTACTCTAGCAATTTTTATTCAGTGTTTCCATTTGAAATTGATCCATGTTTTATTACAGGTGTTCACAGTTGAAAACCAAGCTTTCTGTCATAGAGTAATACTGAATTATATTGAAGCCAATGACCTCAAAGAGAAAATCAGAATTTTAACAAAGTCACCTGAAGATTTAACCAGTGAAGACTTGAGTGGAGAAAAGGTAAATATGATGTACATGGTGCTACTTGCAACTACACCCAGGTTTGGGCTGAGTGAAATGTTGTACTTGTTTAGGATTTTTCTAAGTTTGAACAGTTTTTCCTAAACTGATTAAGATTGGCTTGTAATTATGAAAAAAAGTTTGTGGATTGACAGCAAAAAAGTCGTTTATCCTGATTAATCTCAATACAATTTCATTATTTATTTAGTTCATCTACTTGTTATTCTAGGTAGACTTGTTATTAGCTGAACCATTTTTCTCAACCAGCCTACTACCATGGGATTGTCTACGCTTCTGGTACTTGAGATCTACTCTTTCACAGATTTTAATAGACCCCAACCACATCCTTCCTCGTAAAGTGACTCTTAAAGGTTTAGGAGTCCATTTTCTTGACCTGTGGAAGATTCGTGCCCCTGCAGGCAAAGCTGAATCATTTGACTTGACAGCTTTTGACAAACTAATTGAGGTGAGGAAACATGAAATTTCTGTTGTATGCACGTCTCTATAGGCTTGATTTATCAATAACATAAGAGTATAAGCTGAATGTAAAACAACATTCAGTAATTTTACAAGGTTTTTATTGACTTTCATCTTTGTGGATCTAATTTGTTTTTTCTACACAGTGTTGCTTCTTTATGAGAATGTTCAAAATGAAAAATTAAATTGTTTTTAACTCTAATTTTGTATTAATAGCCATGTGATAAAGATTCTTGTTATGTCAATCATCAAGTTAGACTCATTTCTAAACAGTGATTCATACTTTAATTTGAAATCTTTGTAAAAAGTTTAAATTAGTGGTTCAATTAGTTAAGAAAACATGAAGACTAAATTATTAAAATATAAAATATTTAAGTTATGTAAAGATGATTACACTGGTGAACAACATTTTTGTATCTTACTAAACAAGTATCAATCTTCACTAATTTGAAGGTGCTGATTATGAAAGTGAACTTATTTTTTTGTCCAATGGGTTTAGTTTTTTTCAGTATAAGGGACAGTGGTACAAGTTGGAGTAGGTCTGGGGTAATGATCATCAGGCCTTATTCATCATGTCTTCTCTAAAATCAGTGTTTTTTTGTTGTTTTTTATTGAATTGATAGAGCTATTTACAGAATTAAACTTCATTTTTGCATATAAGGTTTAGATTTTCAATATAAAGTGGGTAATGAGGCAATATGGGGCATGCGTAATGGATATAAATTGGTGCTTCATGATATGATATTAAATATGAAAAATATTCATGGTGTATATGTAGAAATTTGAAAGTGGTAGGCTTGCTGCTTGGAATGCAAAAAGGTTTCACAAATTTACTGCTGTTTTCTCACTTATGGGACAATTAAAGAACATTACTTGAAGAGTGATTGGACCCTTAGACAATTTTTGGTGCCTGGAGAATACATTGTGGAATCAGAGCCATTAGTAGACCCAAAAAAGATTCTTTTGCCACCTCTCCACATCAAATTAGGTTTAATGAAGAATTGGTTAAGGAAATGCTGGCAGCCTATAAAGATCTTGGTGCACAGATCTCATTGAAAATACATTTTTTGCACAGTCGTTTAGTTTTTCCCTGAAAATATCGGTGATGTCTCAAATGAGTGTGGTGAACGTTTTCACCAAGATATTACAAAAATGGAGAAGAACTACCAGGGTAGATGAGACCCAGCTATGATGGGGGATTACGGCTTGATGCTCAAGCGTGAAAGTGACTCAGTATTTAAGCAGAAATCACAAAAAAAAACACTTAACAGTTTTTAAATCCTGCTTTGTAATAGTTTTATTCATAGAAAAAAGTAAACTTTAATTATTAATTTTCTTTTCTTTTTTTTTCTTATGTAACAATCTATCAATGATGGCAAGCTATGTGGTATATGAGTCTCAAGGCAGGGGTGCAATATCTCAAAAATCTGACCCAATATGTAAAAAACATTATTATTTTTGTAATCAATGCCCCAAAATTAGTCAAAAAACAGCTATTTTCATAAAAGATACAGAGAAAAGTTTTTTTGTTTCCCAGTGTTATTAAACAATGTAAACCATTTTTAACGGTTATTAATGAGCATATCAAACAAACTTTGAAAATATTTTGATGAAATTGGAACTTTGTATGTAAACCACCATTTAAAATAGGGATTATATTCTGTACATTTTAGAACTTCTAATAATTCTTACTTTTATGTCTGAACTGTGGATTGAGATGTAGAAAAAAAAAAAACAAGTAAAAATTATTTTCTCGTAAGGAAGAACATTGACATGGAGGGAATATATTCAAAGATTTTAGGAACAAAATATCTTTAATGATAGAAATGTAGGTTTGAAACATTGATTAATATTTTTCAGAATAATTTTTTTTCTAAGGTTGTATATGAAATTTGATAAGTAAAAGTTGAGATCATGGTGAGAAAATCCCACATTTTTCTTATTTACATAAGTATAATTACATTTCTGTTGAGGAGTCTGTTATATTACATGATTTAAAAAATATGTATATATATCTAGGAATGTTCTACATACAAATAACCTGTAACTCAATTTTTTATGGCTACTTAGTTTCTTGAATTTATCTTCTTTTGATTTTATCACAAGCCAATCTACATACCTTAAAAGCTCTTTAAGAAATAATGCTGTTGCTTTAAATACATGTAGGAGAATCAGCTAAAGAATCAGCCTAAGAACAGCTTGATAGACATTTGAAAAGAAATCTGCTTTTTTGTCTTGTTTGAAAGGGCTGATCAAATACCAAGACTAATGCTTAGTTCTTGCTCAATAAGTAATTTTTGAAACAACAAAATTGAGTATTCTTTCAATAACAGGCTGTTTGAAAGGTAAAACATTACATGGAAAAGACTTCATATTAAAATATAAAAAAAAGACAAAATTCAAAACACATTAATCTTAAACAAAATCAATACATCAAGAAAGGTACAGAAAACAATAAATAAAAGTAAACCTGGTTGGCTTTCTTATCCATCAGCTGTTGGTTTTCTTCAGAGAAAATGGAACTTCTGTTTCTTTACCATCCTAATTGTTTTTAGAGCTGTTCAAATAGTAGAATTTGCTATCAAGTAATTGCTAGGCTCATTAATCAATTATGCTCAACTAATTGATTATTCTGACATGAAAGTTGAATATATGGAATAATCAAAAACAGAAACAATCGGAAAAACTCATTTTAATTAATTGATTTTTCTTCATGAGTTGTAACAATAATCAGTTGAGCTGAACCTTGAATTAAGTGAAACAATAGTGAGAAATCTTAATTTCAGTTACTAGAATAGTTGGAATAACCAAAAACAGTAATAATCTGAGGTTATTTTCATGACATTAATTGATTTGATCATAATTTCTGTTAATTGACCATTTTACATGATACTAGTTGAAGTAACTAATGCTAATAGATAAGTGATTATATCGATTAATCAAGATAATTGCCCAGCTTTTGTTGTGTCACATTTATAAGTGTGGTGCAATAAATAAATAAATAAATATATATATATATATATATTTGAAAGTGTCCTCTATTAGTTTTCACTTAGCTCTAAAGACACAAGTTTTTTATTTTGGCACACTTACACTCTCTAAGCTGAAGAAATTTCTTAAAGATTTTATACTTATCAGCAGTTTGGGTACTTTATTAAAGTAAATCTCCAAGAAGTTAGAGCATTGGAAATAAGACCACTGCCGAAAACTTTCTTAGGGTTCTGTTAAATCAGTATTGGGATTTCCATATACATCTATAAAGTTTTATTGTACTGATGGTTTTAAATGGCCTTTTTCTCTCTTTCTCTTTTTTTTTTCCCCCCACTCTTCTAGTCATCATCAGAAATCAGTGATGCCAATGTGGAGCCTCAGCCACTCTGGGAATATCCATGTGTAGCTCTGACTCATCCATTTGATGTTTTTGTCTTTGATTTGGTGCATCCAATGAAGTGTGAGATTATGCAGAATTGCAGTGAAGTGCAGTTTGCCAGGTGAGAAAAACTTACAAATTGGAGCAAGTCATGGTTTCAGTTTACTTAAACCAATATTAACATTGTGTTTCAACAAACATGAATTATAGGTGGTGGGTATTCCTTTAAAGTAACATCAGAACCTTTGATCATGAGTTGACAAAGATAAATTGTGGAAATGTGTATAGTAGAGACTCCATTTACCATTGTATATCTGTTAAATGTTTTGCTATTGATTTTTTGTTTCTGCAAGTTCATTCAACATGTGTGGCTAAATGAATTGTAAGAAAACATAAAGAATTTAAAATCTTCAAACTTAAAATATTTTTAATAGTAAGAACTCTGAAATATGACACAATGAAACTTTTGTTTTTTCCAGAACAGTTGTTGTTCATGATACTCTAAGCTGTTCTTTAATGATGAAATATTCCCTTGTAAATTTTTGTTAAAAAGAAACTGAATTATCCTTACATTACAAATACATAAAGAAAAGTTTTTCTGAAGTATTGTCCAATTTTTATTAAGAGAATAGCATCCTGTTTTTGTGATCTTTCAGTGATGGAACATGTAATGGTATTGCTCTCTGGGTGGACTATGAACTGGATACTGATATTCACCTAACCACTGGTCCTCAGTGTGACATTTGTCCTGGTCATCCAGTGGAGTGGGATATGTACACAAAGCAAGGTGTACATCTACTGAGATCACCAGTCATTGTAAAAGATCCTTCTCAGAATACCATCAAATATTGTGCTGTGTTCTCTCCAAGTGATGGCACTCTCACTTTTAAATTTGAAATGAACAAAATTACAAGTACTGCCTGATAGATGGAACTTTTTTTTAGCACTGTACATTATCCAGATATTTGTTCTTATAAAATAAACTAGAACACAATTATTTTTGCTCGTGTTATTTTATATAAATCGATATCAAATATCTACAAACAAGTTTTTTTCTTACTGTTTGTTGTTCTAAAGAATAAAAATTAGAAAAGTATAATACAAGCTAATACCTAGATTCTTTATTGATGACACAAAACTGATTTTCTGCTTTTATACAGTTTAAAATATTATGTCTTCAAGAAATTAATGTCCCTTTTTTTTTTTTTTTTTAAAGCTTTTAAACTTTCATGAATT